TGTGTTAATGAGTGAATCACTGAATCATTTATTCAAACGATTTGTTCAAAAAGCTGATTCATTCAATAAGTAAACACCGTCCATTGCTCAGAGACGCAAAACAGTGCTGTGATCTTTGTTTGGAACTATTTTCGTTGGCAAAATTGAGCAAAAACAAGCAATATTATGCCTAAAATCACTAAAGTCACTTATTGATTTACTGAACTTGTATAAAATTATTATTAAATGTGTTATCATGCATATCTGTAGAAAAACGGTACTCTTTGCGTGATATAGATTAAGTTAACTATATTCAATTATATAAATATAAAAAGCATACAGAAGCATTTTTTGCTGTATACAATTTAGAATGCCTGGAATTTTGAGTATTAATAGACTAATAAATCAACGTGAGTGCACTCTGTGTGTGATTTGGTGATATACTTGATAATGTCAGATCGCACATCATTACAACAACACTTGCCATAGTATCGCAGAAGATATACTGTATATCGCACACCCCAGACTCGACTTGAGTGGAAAATGATTAATCTGCGGTTGTGCGCACTTGTTTGCACATGAGCAAAGGTGTTTTTTAGGAGTCTAACTAGCAAACGCCAGACCACTGATTCGTCAAACCTGCTTTCCTGCAGTCCGTGTTCTTCTGACTATTTTGTAGTAAGTAACGAATATGCTTCGGGGAAATGTATTGGAGTAAAAGTATACATTTTAATTAGGAAATGTAGTGGAGTAAAAGTAAAAGTTGGCTTTTAAAAGTACTTAAGTACTGTAACGAAATATTATCACTTTGTTACAGTACACCACTGATTTTAACTTACATCAAATAATGATTTGTTTGAACATTATCTAATGTTTAATAAGTTTATTAGCAAACATTAACAAGCACATTATCTCACATTTCTAACTCTTTGAACTAGTGATTCATTAAGCATTATATAATGTTTGTTAATGATTTATTAATGAAAGTTATTATAAAGTGTTACCAAATAAAGATATTGTCTCTCAAAAGAAAGAGTTGAAGCTGAACCGCCTTAATGAGTCGTCATATTTTCAAATCTTCTTCCTGTTACCTATATAGACACAAGGTAAATATTTGCATAATCCCCTCCTGCCCGAGAAATATGAACACTCTGACTTGCCCACAAACTCTTCTGCTTGATCATGTCGAGAAGATGCTGTGTTTTCAGCCTCACTGGGCATTCCCACAGTTCCCACACGTGCACCTCAAATAAGTAAATATTAATAATAATGAATGCAGTAAAACTGCTGTCATATCACGTAAAGTACCACATACAAAGTTTAAACTTACCACTGAGAAACGTCCTGATCAAGTCGTGCTTGCGATGGAGTTTCCGGTTGAGTGACTGCATCGGTATCATCCTCGGACTCTGGCTCGAATTGATAAGGTAATATCAATAAAATTTTTGTAACCTTATAGCATCTTTGTTTACAAGTAACCCTGCGGAGCAAAAAAAATAATTATGGTAATGGGCGTTTAATTTCCGGCTCTGTGTATACAGAAAGACCAATCACAACAGACTTGGCCAGCTGACCAATCAGAGCAGAGTAGGCTTATAGAAGGGAGGAGTTTACAGACCTTAAGCTCAGAACTGCTTAAAAAAAACGTTTCGAAATCATTGAAAAATTATTCTAATATTAAATGTATATTCTGAGAAAATTACAATGTTTTCTGACCTTAGATGTGTGAGTGTGTGCAAGAGCATGAGCAATAAGTTGCTGGCCACAGCTCACTTAATGGCCACTGGTGTTGCTAATAAGGGTTTCTGAATACTAAAATTATATAGAGCCCTTCAACTGCTAAATATCAGCATTTTTAGGAGTTCATCTTTACTGTTGACAGTGAAATAGCTTGAGCCATCCTCTTGAGTAGGACTAGGCGTTATGGCAATACATTTTTGCAGGACTGCTTAATTTTTGACACACTGATAAAGAAACTATAAAGGAGCAATACAGAAACATGAAAAAATGAAGCGTAGACATATTTGATGGTATTCAAGTAAAGCAAGTCGGTTGTGTCTTAAGTGAACATAAGAAATGAGAAGAAATATGGATCAGTATATATTGGATTTATTGTCTAGTGTTGGGGTTAAAGAATATGTTATCTATAAGTTGTTTAAAGGAGGGGAAAGCACTTCTCTTTCTCTTATGTCTGTATCTAACTCCAGTATTACTAAATGTAATGACACTTTCTCTTGCACTTCAAATGATTGCTTGTAAATATTGTTTGTATTTTTGTATTTTCAAATTACTTGTATTTTAATTGAATACATTTCTCACACCAGTATTCAGTATTTTAATTAAATACATTTGATGAGCAAGTATTTGTAGTTTGTAACAAAATACTTTTTTATGTATTTGTGTCCATCTCTGTTTGTAGTTTAAATATAGGTATGTATATGTATATGTACTGCCCCAGTGACAGCTTTGTACCCTTTTCTGAGAGTGTATGACTCAGATTTCATATATATTTTAACACTTTTAAAAATATATATTGTATAGCATCAGAAATATCTTAATTTAGGCAAGGACAAATTACCTGATGAATCTTATTGGATAAGTAAAGTAAAAATTCATATTTATAGATTAAGGCCTATAATTATGTACATCGATGAGCCATTACATTATGACCACCCCCAGCCTAGAGCAATCAGAGCGCCTGGCAACCAAATGGTGTCAAATGTGCAGTTCACAGAGCAGTATATATACCACCGGAGGACCGGCTTTCGGTCAGTAGAGTGTTTGGTGTCAGAATGGGAAAGGCTGCCGATTTATCGGAGTTTGATAAAGGACAAATTGTGATGGCATGGCACCATGGAACTTTGATCTCTGAAATGACGTGCCTTGTGGGTTGTACACATCCTGCTGTAGAGAGTATGTATCAAAAGTGGTGCACGGATGGCCAAACGACAAACCATCGTCCAGCTATGTGTTGTCCACAGCTGATTGATGCCAGAGGAGAGCGGAGACTGTCATGCATTGTTCACAGAGACTGCAGGGCCACATTGTGACAAATCACCAGCAGTTACATCAGTGGTGACCAGGGCAATGTGTTGAACAGGGCAACAGTTCATTACAGCCTTCTGGGTGTGGGCCTGTGAATCTGACCACCCAGTCAGGTCCCCATGCTAACAGCATGCCATTGCCAACAACACATGAAATGGGCCAAAGATCATTGAAATTGGACCATGGATGATTGGAAGAAAGTGGCCTGGTCTGACAAATCATGACTCCTGGTGCATCACGTCGACAGCCAAGCCCGAATACGGCGATTACCAACAGAGGCTATGGCACCTGCATGCACTATTGGGCGGACACAGGCCGGTTATGCTGTGGGCAATGTTTTCTTGGAACACTTTAGGCCTCATTATCCCAATAACACTACGTAGGTATCTGAACATCGTTGCAGACCAAGTGCACCCATTCTTGGAAACTGTGTTCCCTGCCAGTGATGGCCATTACCAACAGATAATGCGCCATGCCACACTGGCAGAATGGTCATGAAGTGGTTTGAGGAACATAATGGTGAATTTCTGTTAATTCCTTGGCCTCCAAATTCACCCATTCCATCATTTGTGGTTCGACTTGGAAAAGTGGGTTCATACTACACCACCACCCTGCAATGTATGGGAACTGGAGGAACTGCTGTTGACACCCCAGTAGACCGATCTCCATCTCGTCTGAATTAATACCTCGCCACGTAGCCACTGTTTTGTGGGCTAAAGGAGGACCAACAGGTTATTAGATAGGGGGTCATAATGTAATGGCTCATCAGCGTATCTAAATATCTATGTATTCACATGCATATACTTTATATATTCATAGTTATATGTATTCAAATTTACATTCTCATACTTATAACTGTATATTCATATTTACATTTATACAGTATATTCAGAACAATATCTATATATATTTTTAAATGTACATACAGGTGCATCTCAATAAATTAGAATATTGTGGAAAAGTTAATTTATTTCAGTAATTCAACTCAAATTGTAAAACTCGTGTATTAAACAAATTCAATGCACACAGACTGAAGTAGATTAAGTCTTTGGTTCTTTTAATTGTGATGATTTTGGCTCACATTTAACAAAAACCCACCAAGTCACTATCTCAACTAATTAGAATATGTCATGACATGCCAATCAGCTAATCAACTCAAAACACCTGCAAAGGTTTCCTGAGCCTTCAAAATGGTCTCTCAGTTTGGTTCACTAGGCTACACAATCATGGGGAAGACTGCTGATCTGACAAATTCAAAGTTGTAACAACATATTCAGATTTATTGAAATTGTGAACATTCCATTCTACCATTTAAAATTTTCTAAAATATGAAAACCGTCTACCAAATGAATGTTTCCTTTATCTTTTTCTGGGAAATTCACAACTAAATCACACTAATAGGTCACTCATTGAACTTGAGTTGTTGAAGGAAACCAATGGTCCTGGACTTTGATTTCAGCTGTTTCAATAGAATCTTCACTCTAAATTAAGTATTAACTTTCCTCCTGCACTCTTGCCTTTGAAAGGGTCTGCACACATGACTTTAATCTGAGATTTTTTTCAGAGGTTGTTATGGTAGTTTTGAACATGCTTCTGGCTTCTTACAAGTGTGCATCATAAATACTAAAGTTCATTATTTTAATAAAGACATAATAAAGACAGAAAACATTAAATTAATACATTACAGAGTACAAGATATATACCATGGCAAAAAATATGAATGTTATTAAATAAAATATCTTTGCTTGTCCTAGACAAAAATATATTTTTTTACTTACAAGAAAATCAAAGCTTACCAAATAGTAAGACCAAAATATAACAGAATTTTTTTTTTTTTTTGAGTTTGGTAGATGAAAGGTATCTTAAAAATAGCACAGAAAAAGACTTTGCATTGATTTGATCATAATGTATCAGAAGACTTTACAGGAAACATACAACAAAGCGGACTAGAACTTTATATTATTAGTTATAACTATTACTCTGTAATATGTCAAAGGTACAAAGGTAGAACTTGCAGTAAACATTGTCAAATGTACAGTAAAAACAGTCAGGCATGTTTTAAATTAGATACTGTAGCAGCTAAGAAAGATTTGTCATGACTACAAGTGAACTATCAGTTTTGGTCTTGGGTTTAAAATGAAAGTCAAAAATATTTTCTATTCTACTGCCATCAAATCAAAAACAGTAGGCAGCTGTAAGGACGTTTTTGTTGAGGATATTATAAGGAAGTATTGAGTGTTTCAAGAGGAACTTTTGTAACTTCTTGTGTTACAAACACAATGAGTAGTGAGTAGAGTAATGTCAGATTACTCACATTTAGCTTGTTGTTACAGATAAGGCAACATTTCTGTCCACAGAATACAGCTCTAATATCCTTAATATAGTTAGTTGATACTGATGTGATCTTTAACCAAAGAAACCATGAAAGAAGATGCAGACAGTGAGGAGGATAATAGCATTAGCGTTGACCACGTTTCTCCATAGAGGTTTCTCAGTAGTGTCTGTGAGTTTCATCTTCAACTCTGCCTCCTGTTCTTTAGTCAGTTTAGGTGCATTGCCTTGATCAAAGCCGCAGAACCAGTTGTAGGCCTTCTTCCAACAGCTTGGATCCTCACGCACCTCTGCAAGGTCGAGAGACAAGCGGAAAGTTGTTACTTGTTTTTAATGTTTTAAAAATACTTTATGTGTGCAATAATTTACACAAGTAAGGCATTTGCCTGAATCAACATCCTTTGGTTTTCCTAGAACAGGGGTGTCACACTCAATTCCTGGAGGGCCGGAGCCCTGCAGAGTTTAGATTCAACCCTAATTAAACACACCTGATCCAACTAATCAAGTCCTTCACGCTTATTTGAAAACTACATGGTATGTGTGTTGGAGCTGGGTTGGAACAAAACTCTGCAGGACTCCGGCCCTCCAGGAATTGAGTTTGAGACCCCTGTCCTAGAATTACAATCTATTCAACTAATTATGGCCCTAACCTAGTCTCAGCGTCACACGGCACACTCACAGTCCTTTCACTGAGTCCTGTGATGCTCATTGCAAACAAAAATGGAGAGTGCTATCTGATTGTACATATTTGGTGGATCGTGCAGATGTACCTTCCGTTTGCATAGAGTCTGAATCCTGATCTTCAGTCCAGTCATCTTCTTCCAGATCAATCCTCTCCTCAGTGCTGTTCCTCAAACTCCAGCAGAGCCTGTACAGCTGTAAAACAACAAGGGGCCACAGAATGAGAATGACAGAGAAATTGCTTTTCTATCTAAATCTCTGTTTTTCAATAATGTTATGTTGATAAATCTACATATATAGGCCCTACGACCATTCAAAAGATTGGGGTTGTAAAATACGTCTGTAGTGCATACATTTTCATAAGTTTTCTATTTTAACATATATTAAAAAGTAATTTATTCCTGTGATGCAAAGCTGAATTTTCAGCATCATTACTCCAGTCTTCAGTGTTACATGATCCTTCAGAAACCATTATGCTGATTTGCTGATCAAGATTTGCTATTATGAATGTTGAAAACACTTTTTGTTGCTTGATATTTTTGTGGAAACCATGATACACTACCATTCAAAAGATTTTCTTTAAAAAAAAAAATCATGTTTATTCAGCAAGGAAGCATACATTTTTTCAAAAGTGACAGAAAAGACTTCCATTTCAAATAAATGTTGTTCATTTAACTTTCTGTTCAACAAAGAATAAAAAATGCTTGGAAACAAAGAAAAAAAAGATGGTTTCCACAAAAATGTTTTCGACATTACTGTTTTTACTGTATTTTAGATCAAATGCAGTCTTGAGCATAAGAGACTTCTTTCAAAAGCATTAAAAAAATCATAAGTATTCTGAACTTTATAGTTTAGTTGTAAGAAGAGCTTACATGTTTGTCATCAATGGGTTTGGTCACGAGGGAGATGCCCAGGATCAATATACAGGACAGGCTGAAGAGGATGAGGGCGAAATAGAGGTAGTGCACACCACAGATGATCGTGGGACAGTTACTGGGACTCACGCAGCTGCCTGTGCCGTAGGCAAACTCAGTTATCATACGTGCCAGACCCACCAACAGACCAATACACAACCCGTAGAAAGCACCCTGTGAGGACACATCAACAACATGTGCTTTAAAATCTCAACACCCATTCACTGCAATTATAAAGCTTGGAAGAGCCAGGACATTTTTAATATAACTCTGATTGTATTTGTCCGAAAGAAGAAAGTCATGTACACCTAGAATGGCTTGAGGGTGAGTAAATCATGGGGTCATTTTCATTTTTGGGTGAACTATCACTTTAAGAATATGAACCATGGTTTTACAACAAATAAAACAAACAAAAAAACATGGTAATTGCAGTTAACCACAAATTAACCATGGTTTTGCTGCACTAACCATAGTTTAACCATTTGTAGTTAAACTGTGATTATACAGATGGTAATCAATCCGGCAAAAATCATATTTACTACACATTTACTGTAATAAAACCATGGTTAATTTAGTTGCTAGCATGTTTTAACACATTGTTAACATGTTTTGGTAACACTTTACAATAAGGTTTATTAGATAACATTAGTTAACTACTTTAGTTAACATGAACTAAGCATGAACAATACTTCTACCGCATTTATTAATATTATTAATGCATTATTAAAATCAAAAGTTGTACTTGTTAACATTAGTTAATGCACAGTGAATTAACACGAACTAACAATGAACGACTGTATTTTCATTAATTAACATTACCAAAGATTAATAAATACAGTAATAAATGTATTGTTCATTGTTTGTTCATGTTAGTTAATACATGAACTGACATTAACTAATGGAACCTTATTGTAAAGTTTTACCTATGTTTTAAGTTGCTAGTTTTCCATGCTGCTAGCATGTTTCTAGCATATTTTAGCAAGTTGCTGGCATGTTTTAACAATAGGTAGATGCAACATTCAACTACTCCAGACATGTCGATGCATTCGCCATCTTGGAACTGTCAACGTGTCGTCACTCACAGTAAAAATCAGTGAGTTTTCCAAGATTGTGCAGCCTCTGGTTGTAAAAACCTCAGAAATTTAAATTCTCAAAGAAATGGCATAACCTGCATGTGAGAATGTGTTGGTTTTTAAACTATGGTACATTTTTGATGTTGTGTCAGCTAATGCCTTCATCTTGTTGTGTTGTGTTAGTTTAGCAAAATCTTCTGCTGAAGTCTATTGTAGATATAGATATTCATAAATGCGTATAACTATACGGTTGCAGATCCACAGTCAACTTGCTCTTGAGTGTTCATGAACCGGCTTTGACTGTTCCAATATGGCGGACAGCTTGCATACATACAGCGGCCCATAGAAACAGCCAATAATGAGGTATCAATGTATATATATATATGGTTTTCACGAGTTGCTAGCATGTTTTCACACACTGTTAGCATGTTTTTAACACATTGCTAGCATATTTCTATCATGTTTTAGTACATTGTAAAGCAACATAATAATCATCAGCAAAATTTTTATTGTGTGTGAAATATATGTTTTATACAATAAAAAAAATTGGAAATAGCAAAATGGAAACAAAATTATTGCAAAGCTACGAAATGTTTAGATTTAACTCACTGGTTCATTGACTCGCTTGCAGAAAATGGCGAGGGTGAAGACAGCAGCAATGGGTGGAGCCAGATAACTGGTGATAGACTGAATGTAGTCGAAGAGCTGCCCGCTCTGAGCCGACTGAACGATGGGGATCCACGCGATACTCACGCCGATCAGAAACAGCATGAACACCCTAAACACATGAACACAAGCCTCTCAGAGCCTATTCATCTCAGTTTCTGCTCACAAAATCAGAAAATCAATATCCAACACAAACAAGCAGACACGTGAACACACCTCCCCGCGATCATGAGCTCCTTTTCCTTGGATTTGGGGCGGATCTTGGTGTAAATGTCCATTGTGAAGAGTGTGCTGGCGCTGTTAAAGATGGAAGTGAGTGAACTCATCAGAGAGGCCAACATGACGGACAACATCAACCCTCTGAGACCTTCGTAAACACACACAGCAGTTTAGAGCCATATCACCAAACAGATCTATCAAAGCAGTCTATTAGAGATGTAAGAGACAGAAATAGAAATATCAGATTATTCTTTACCGTTTGGCATCAGATCCAACACAAGTTTTGGATAAGCAATATTACTGCAGCCCACACTGGCTCCACAGTAGTAGTCACACTCTGCTGGATCCACGCATGCAATCTCATCTGACACACAAAAAAAAATAAAAAATTAGTTCACTAATAGTCTTTCACTGTTCACTGACCTTCTGATGCATGATGCATTCAAAAAATGTCACAAAAATTGCTGCACATTACTTTTGGATTGTCAGAATTTCTTACCACAAAGTCCACATATCATTTTGGCTAAATTGTTTAATTTTGCTAAATTATTCAGCTCTGTAATTGTTATGGTATTATGAACGTCAGATTTACCCTCCCTGAAATGTCATATGAAACCAGTGTTATTTTGGTATTATTTGCATACTACCGATATCTGTTAGTATTTTAAATAAAAATTTATTTATATATTTGCAGTTTTCATTTTCATTTTTTTTTTTTTTTTGTTATGAGTTTGTCATTTTTCTTTCTTCTTCTTCTTTTTTTTATGTCTAATATGCAGAATTATTCTTTTATGTCTGCTGTTCAACACAATTAAAAATATATAGAATTATTTATTAGAAGAATAAAAACCTACCATATATTATTATTATTATTATTATTATTATTAAGGCACAATATTAATAAAATATTAAAGAACCAACTGAAACATGGAAATCAATGTTACTTTAGCATTATTTATATACTATTATAGTATTTACTAGTATTTTGAATTAGCATTTATTTTTATATTTTAATTTTAATTTACGTTTTAGTCTTGTTATGTGCTTTGTAATTTTTTTAATTATTTTTATACTTTAAAATTAAACATTTCTATTTTAATTCCTTAACGTTTAAGTTTTTGTTTAATTTTATATTTCAGCTTTATTTCAATAAGCGAAAACAGTTTTTTTAGTTTTAGTTAATAGTAACAACACTGCTTCAAACAAAAACTGCGGTTGGTTGCTTAAAGTGTAAATCAGACTCTCTGTCTGTCTAAGTAGGCCGTTGCTTGTTAAAATAAGTTACTAGCATATTCTGTGAGAAATAAGTGGACCAGACTTTATGCTGATGAGCAACACTCTAGTTCTATGAGACTGATCAAACCTTAGTTCACCATATATCACTCAGACAAGATTCAGTCAACATATTTGTTGACATACAAAATAGTCAGTTTATCACCATTCTCACCCAGGATGGTGCCAGTCTTTCTTACCTGTGTACAGCACTCGGCTGATCATGCCAGGGAAAACCATGAGGAACATTGGCAGAAGTTTGAGGTAACCACACAGGATGCAGCCCGCTTTCACATGAGACAGGTTCTTGGCAGACAGACAGCGCTGCACAATCACCTAAAACAAGATGGAGAGTTTGTGTGATTAACCCAGAGAAACATTTCAGTGCTCACAGCTGATTAGTCCATTTATTGGCTAGTTCAGAAGGGCCTTGCATTTAAAGTTTGAGCTTTTATTTATGGTGGCTGTTCAGTTTATACACTTCTGTTCAATAGTTTTTGTTTAAAAAAGCTAACGTTTTTGAAAGAAGTCTCACCAAGGCTGCACTCATTTAATCAAAAATACAGTAAAAACAGTAATATTGTGAAATGTTATTACAAAGTAAAATATCTGTTTTCTATTTGAAAATATTTTAAAATGTAATTTATTCCTGTGATGCAAAGTTGAATTTTCAGCATCATTACTTCAGTGTCACATGATCCTTCAGAAATCATTCTAATATGCTGATTTGCTGCTCACATTTATTGCAATTATTATAAATGTTGAAAACAGTTGTGCTGCTTCTTATTTTTGTGGAAACCATGATTTGTAGTATTGTAGTACTGTACTGTATTTTTTTCCACCACTATATAAACAGTTCTTGAGATGCTGGGAAAGTACATCATGAACTATGATAAACTTTTATGGCTGTTTTTCTGCTGTAGTGCTACATACAGTACAAACAAAGACTATTGATATACTGTTCATAAAAACAAACATCTGAGGATTAGTAGATTTAAATTACATGACTTTTGGGTTACACTTTATTTCGATAGTCCACTTTAGACATTCTACTAACTATAAGTAACTTTGTAACTACATGTCAACTACATGTCAACTAATTCTCATTAATTTGCAACTACATGTCTACAGTAAAAACAGTAATATTGTGAAATGTTATTACAAAGTAAAATATCTGTTTTCTATTTGAAAATATTTTAAAATGTAATTTATTCCTGTGATGCAAAGTTGAATTTTCAGCATCATTACTTCAGTGTCACATGATCCTTCAGAAATCATTCTAATATGCTGATTTGCTGCTCACATTTATTGCAATTATTATAAATGTTGAAAACAGTTGTGCTGCTTCTTATTTTTGTGGAAACCATGATTTGTAGTATTGTAGTACTGTACTGTATTTTTTTCCACCACTATATAAACAGTTCTTGAGATGCTGGGAAAGTACATCATGAACTATGATAAACTTTTATGGCTGTTTTTCTGCTGTAGTGCTACATACAGTACAAACAAAGACTATTGATATACTGTTCATAAAAACAAACATCTGAGGATTAGTAGATTTAAATTACATGACTTTTGGGTTACACTTTATTTCGATAGTCCACTTTAGACATTCTACTAACTATAAGTAACTTTGTAACTACATGTCAACTACATGTCAACTAATTCTCATTAATTTGCAACTACATGTCTACTTTTGAAAGGTTTGTTCTGCAATGCCGGTTGGAGAGGAAGAAATGAAAGCATACCCCAGCCTTTATGTAGATGGGCACGAAGAGCCATCCCAGAATAATCACAACAACAAGAGCCTGAGGAAAAAAATTAAAAAGAGACAAAAACTATGAAAAATTATTTTTGTTAATTAAAATAAAGCTGAAATACTATAAAATATAAATAAATAAAGATGAAAAACATGATAAAAAAGTAAATAATACTAAAATAACTTTAAGATAAATTTTTAAATGTTTTAATTGGTTCTTTAATATCTTACTACTACTACTAATAACACATAGTATGTTTTTATCCTTCTAATAAATAATTATAATTTTGCTTTTATTCTACTGAAAAGCAAAAATAAAATAATTAAAAATCAGTTCTATTTATCAGACATTTTTATGACTATATTTAAACGCAAAATGTAGAATAATATTTTTTTCCATAGTCATGAATAGTAAGCTAAAACATCAAATCCAGCCACACATCAAAATGATTGAATATCATAAATGTAATTTTAAGGCATTTTTAACATACGTTCCACTCAAACCCCCCGATAGCAATGCCAGCCGCTGCTCCAGTTCCTGCTATTCCCACAAAATGCCCACTTCCGATGTTACTTGCAAAGAGAGAGGCTCCAATCTAGAAAAAAGTTGAACATTTTTTAAAGCAATTTGACTAAGATTTGCTTCATATTATATCTACTAATATACAAACATTTGATATTCTGTATCAGGGTTTAAACTGAAGTGAAATCTGAATCTAAGAAATCAGCTACATTTTTGAAGGTCAGAAAGGTTACAAAGGTGTAAGTCTTCAGCATAGGATTGTGGGAACTGTATTGCTTCAGAACATATTAACTCTGTCTACTGTTTGACTATATCTGGCAATACAATCACCATAATGATAAGTTATAACAACTGCTTCTTCTGCACAGCCTGAGGTGTAATTCAAACAATAACGAATGCAACTATGAACTTTGAAATAACAAATAAAACCTTTAAAAAATTGGTATTAGGTGATAACTTTAACATGAACCACAGCATGTCAGCTCCATAAAAACTGCATGAGCAAAGCATAGCAGTATTTTCAGCTGTGAATTGTGAGTTGCATCTGGCATCAGTGCATAATGGCCCCATAAAAGTTATCATTCACCCATGATATCAAGGTTCTGAAATGGAGGGGCAGTTAGGGTCATTATCATGCCATATCTGTTATCATGTGAAATCACTGGTCATGCTATTGATAGATACATAATCAGCTTCTACTTTTATGGCTGTTTCAGTCTTTCGTAGCACATTACGACAGAAATTCGCCACATTTAGCACACTAAATGATTGATCACTATTGATGTTGTATTTGATCAAGCGGTGTCATTTTGTCGATGTCCATAACATTTTGAGTACAAAACAAAATGCTTTTAAGATTTAAAGCACGGTCATCCTCAATTTTGGTCCATTTACTTACTGGCCACCACACCATACTCCTTTTTGTATGGGTTGACACAGATTCTGGACTCACAGAGATTTTGGTGAAAACGTAAAGAAACAGGGAGAGCACGGACAGGTAGATCCGGATCCGCTGCCCACCAAAGCGTTTCTTCAGGTACTCTGGCATGGTCACGACCTGCAGATGCAAAGAGAAGAAAGGGTCATAAAAATGATACCGCAGAGATAAAGTGGTCGACACATTCATGTTGTGTAAGTCTTTGAAAGGTTTGTTCTGCAATGCCGGTTGGAGAGGAAGAAATGAAAGCATACCCCAGCCTTTATGTAGATGGGCACGAAGAGCCATCCCAGAATAATCACAACAACAAGAGCCTGAGGAAAAAAATTAAAAAGAGACAAAAACTATGAAAAATTATTTTTGTTAATTAAAATAAAGCTGAAATACTATAAAATATAAATAAATAAAGATGAAAAACATGATAAAAAAGTAAATAATACTAAAATAACTTTAAGATAAATTTTTAAATGTTTTAATTGGTTCTTTAATATCTTACTACTACTACTAATAACACATAGTATGTTTTTATCCTTCTAATAAATAATTATAATTTTGCTTTTATTCTACTGAAAAGCAAAAATAAAATAATTAAAAATCAGTTCTATTTATCAGACATTTTTATGACTATATTTAAACGCAAAATGTAGAATAATATTTTTTTCCATAGTCATGAATAGTAAGCTAAAACATCAAATCCAGCCACACATCAAAATGATTGAATATCATAAATGTAATTTTAAGGCATTTTTAACATACGTTCCACTCAAACCCCCCGATAGCAATGCCAGCCGCTGCTCCAGTTCCTGCTATTCCCACAAAATGCCCACTTCCGATGTTACTTGCAAAGAGAGAGGCTCCAATCTAGAAAAAAGTTGAACATTTTTTAAAGCAATTTGACTAAGATTTGCTTCATATTATATCTACTAATATACAAACATTTGATATTCTGTATCAGGGTTTAAACTGAAGTGAAATCTGAATCTAAGAAATCAGCTACATTTTTGAAGGTCAGAAAGGTTACAAAGGTGTAAGTCTTCAGCATAGGATTGTGGGAACTGTATTGCTTCAGAACATATTAACTCTGTCTACTGTTTGACTATATCTGGCAATACAATCACCATAATGATAAGTTATAACAACTGCTTCTTCTGCACAGCCTGAGGTGTAATTCAAACAATAACGAATGCAACTATGAACTTTGAAATAACAAATAAAACCTTTAAAAAATTGGTATTAGGTGATAACTTTAACATGAACCACAGCATGTCAGCTCCATAAAAACTGCATGAGCAAATCATATCAGTATTTTCAGCTGTGAATTGTGAGTTGCATCTGGCATCAGTGCATAATGGCCCCATAAAAGTTATCATTCACCCATGATACCAAGGTTCTGAAATGGAGGGGCAGTTAGGGTCATTATCATGCCATATCTGTTATCATGTGAAATCACTGGTCATGCTATTGATAGATACATAATCAGCTTCTACTTTTATGGCTGTTTCAGTCTTTCGTAGCACATTACGACAGAAATTCGCCACATTTAGCACACTAAATGATTGATCACTATTGATGTTGTATTTGATCAAGCGGTGTCATTTTGTCGATGTCCATAACATTTTGAGTACAAAACAAAATGCTTTTAAGATTTAAAGCACGGTCATCCTCAATTTTGGTCCATTTACTTACTGGCCACCACACCATACTCCTTCCAGCCAGGAAAAAGCCTCCCACTGTGGCTCGATTGGTCCGTACCATTGCCTTTGGACAGAAAGAGCCATTCAATTCAGCATATATACAGTCCCAGCCACTTAGAATGTTAGACAAAATTATATGTGACTTTATATAAGGTGTCATACCTGCAGGATCAGACACATTTCATAATAACACATCACATTGGTGGACTCAAAGGTTGATGTATTGGTGTTCCAAAATGCTGATTAAAATCACTTTCGATTGAGTGTAGCACGTAACACTACTGATGGTATGTCAAAGTATCATAAGTATTGTATGGCAGCTACCTCTCAAAGTACCATGCAATTACCATGTGATACCAGTACTTTTTTTTGTATGGGTTGACACAGATTCTGGACTCACAGAGATTTTGGTGAAAACGTAAAGAAACAGGGAGAGCACGGACAGGTAGATCCGG